TGCTTTCAAAATTATAATGTAATGAAATCTCCCAAGAGGGGCAACCCATGAAAGCAGGCATTGAAATTATCCATTTTGTAGCTACTTTAATTTCTGTCCTCTTTTTTAATGTTGTTTTCTTTTCTAGGTTTTGCAACAATTGGCCATTGTCTGCCTTCACTAGCAACCCTAATTCTTGAATTTGTGATCATAACATGAACTGAATTCTTCACTTTATAACTAGTTTACCTGGTATTTGCAATAATTAATGATGATCTCTAAAAGCTTTTTTTCACAAACATCTCATTGTTTTAATCAACAAATTGTTTATGATCTCAATTTTATTTTCTTCTGTCAATGTTCTGTCTTACTGATGACTGCTTGAAATTGGTCTAGCGAACTGATTTCTGAATACGTGAGAAACCATGTGCAGCAACGTGGCACAGGAGGATTTTCTCTCATGGATACTGGTACTAGTACTATTATAAAAAAGGAATCCTCTTACTCATTTTCCATCTGTGTGTAATGATCCAATCCCCTCTCTCCGCTCCCAGAATTGAAAAAGATTTCTTTTCCAGTCTAATCCATCCACTCTAAATCAGGGTCCTACAGACCCATCTTTACATGCAAAAGGTCCCCTGAAATGTCACCTTTTACACCTTTTTGTTTAGGGGAGTTCGAATTTTGCAAGTTTGTTTTCGTTTTTTCTTTTTTTTTGGGGTATATATGTTCACCAGTTTATATAGAGATTACTTGCATCTGGTTGTGTTAAATGAGATCGAGATTAGGCTGGAAATTGACTGAAACGGGTTTGCGTTGGCAAAAATGAAGATGGGTGAATCGTGGGCTCTCTTTGTCTTCTTTTCCAAACATTTTCTGGTTTCATAGTGTTTGTTAATTTTCAGTTTTGTTTCTGGTTTCGGTGGTTCCAGGTGCATGCAGGTGTTGTTGATGTCTGGCATTTGATTTTAAATTTTTAATCTCGAATATGAAAGTGACATTTCTTAAATGAAGTTGAACTGTTCTTTTTTCTTCTTAAAATGATAATAATATATAAAAACCAAAAAGTGGGCAACCCATAAGTAAGATATAGGCATTGAACTATGTTTTGTAACTTATCCTATTTCTTTCATCTATTGAATGTTCTTTTGATCTGTGGGTTTTGCAATAATTGGCCAGCATCCGCTCACTTGCAATACTAAATTCTTGTTTTTTTTATCATAACAAGATAGACGGAAAGAAGGCCAGAGTTGTGTTAAAAGTAGGAACTGAATTCATCGCTCTTAATCACATCACATCTGGATCATGAATTATATTTTATTTATCGTCTTCTTAAGCTTGCATCTTTTCTTTAACTGCAAGAAATTTGCATGGACTTTCTTTGCCACTGTTTCTTTATATGTAATGCACCATTTGCCCTCCAACCGTTTTGGTTGCTTTACTGTTCAATGAAATGTTGAAAATGGTTGTTCTTAGTTTCTTATTATTGCTTTGAATTTTCAATAATCTCAAGGTTGAATTTTCACTTGAATTATGCATTCAGTTATCTTTATCTGTTCATTGTTTTGGCCAGGAAGCTGATGCTATGAGCTAGTGGTATAAAAATAAATAAAATTTTGAGGCTTAGAACCGAGGCAAGACTGGTAGTACTATTGAGCTTCCAAAACAGTGATGGCTTCTACTGTTAAAGTGATTCTAGGCACAATTGCCTTTGGAATCTTCTGGGTACTGGCAGTTTTCCCTTCTGTCCCTTTTCTACCAATTGGGAGGACTGCAGGGTCCCTACTGGGGGCCATGCTAATGGTCTTATTTAAGGTCATAACCCCGGATCAAGCTTATGAAGCAATTGATCTCCCAATCCTGGGTCTTCTGTTTGCAACAATGGTTGTGAGTGTCTATCTTGAAGAGGCAGATATGTTCAAATATTTGAGTAAGTTGCTTTCATGGAAGAGTAAAGGAGCTAAGGACTTGATTTGTCGAGTCTGTGTGATTTCTGCAATATCAAGTGCCTTTTTCACCAATGACACCGTTTGTGTGGTTCTAACTGAATTTGTACTGAAAATTGCAAAGCAACATAATCTACCCCCTGATCCTTTCCTGCTTGCTCTTGCCACCAGTGCAAATATTGGGTCTGCAGCAACTCCTATTGGAAATCCTCAAAACTTGGTTATAGCACTTAAGAGTGAAATTCTTTTTGTGGATTTTCTTTTTGGAGTTCTCCCTGCAATGCTGGTAGGAATAGTTGTGAATGCTTTGCTTCTTATATGCATGTATTGGAGGGTGTTATCTGCTCAGAAGGATGAACAGAATGCGACAAGTGAAATGTTTGTGGTTGAGGAGGGTGTTTCTCTTTTGTCTAGAAGAAACTCAAATGCTTCAAAAGAGGGGATAAATGATGTAGTTTGCCCCAAAGAGGAAGAAACTGCCCCTTTAATGACAGAAGGAGAAGAAAATGTGACCACAAAGTGGACATTCTGTGTTTACCTTGTTACTATTGTCATGCTGGTTGCTATGTTTATGGGTTTCAACATGTCCTGGACAGCAATTACTGCTGCACTGGCTCTCATCGTTTTTGATTTTAAGGATGCTCGACCTTGCCTAGAAACGGTAAATTCTGCAATTGTAATGCCTTTCCATTTAATATTTCTGGTATCAATGGGAATTCAAAATTGAAGATTGTATTATGTCTGTTCAATATGAAAGTGATGTGAATTTCTTCTTCCTTCTCTGCCCAGGTGTCCTATTCGCTTTTAGTTTTCTTTTGTGGAATGTTTATCGCAGTCAATGGTTTCAACGAAACTGGAATTCCAAGAAGTTTCTGGGACATGATGGAACCCTATTCAAGGATCAACCATGTTTCTGGGATAGCAGTTCTTGCTGTTGTCATACTACTCCTGTCAAATTTGGCTTCCAATGTGCCAACGGGTATGCATATGTTATCTACTTGGAAAAATATACCATGCAACTTTATTAAGTTGCTTGTTTATATAGGACATACCGAAGAGAAATCCCTAACAACATAGGACTATTTGACACTAACATGCGTAGATATAAACCGAGTTGTTCAGCATCTTAAGCTACCTATTCTAGATTGTTCATGAAGAAAAGCCATATTCATATACATGTATCATTTAAGAAAAACCCCTAAACTGTGTCTTCTAGTCTGCTTAAGCACATAACTACTGTAGAGTAATGAGCGTTCAAAACTTTTCTAGCTACTTAACCTAGTTGTATTTATGTTTCTTCAGTTCTCTTGCTGGGAGTGGAGGTAGCAGCTTCAGCAGGTGCAATCTCTTCAGTAGCTGCAATCTCTTCAGCTCATAAGAAGAAAGCATGGCTCATTTTAGCTTGGGTTAGCACGGTTGCCGGGAACTTGTCACTATTAGGATCAGCAGCTAACTTGATAGTATGTGAGCAAGCTCGCAGACGTGGGTACAACTTGTCCTTCTGGAATCATCTAAAGTTTGGCGTTCCCTCCACTCTTATAGTCACTGCTATTGGTTTGACACTTATAAGGTGATAACACTGTTTAAATTACACGGTCGCCCCTCCTGATGCATGTATGTATGTTCATTTGGCTACAAAATTATTGGTGTCTATACTATA